ATGGCTGTCAAGTCACGCCAGTCGTTAAGTCGTCGCGCGGCTGACTCGGTTTTTACAAAACAATTTTGGGCGGTGGGTTGTGGAGCAGGGCGTGTCGTAAAACGAACGCCGTGCTCGTGAAGCGGTCATTAAACGAAACACATTGTGCGTCGGGAGCGTTTTTAGCCAGAAAGCAGAAATAAACAGTGCTTTTCGGCAACATAAATCACAATCGTTCCCACAGCTATAAACTGAATTTATTTAATGCATTTAAGCTTGCAAAGGCACTAGCCTTTGCTTGCCTCTTAAGTGTGTCTTTGTCTGTGTGTGTGCGTGTGTTGGACATAGGATGCAGCTTGCCTGTTGGCTGCTGCAAATTCAGAAAATGTGTTAAGGCAGTCAACACATAAAGCAAGCAAGCATTTTGGATAATCTGGAATTATTTAAGAATGGAGGCCTGGGAGCGACTGGTATTTTCGCTGTTGTGTCTGTTGAGCCAAGCTCCGAATTGATTTGAATTTTGTAAAGGCAAGTTCAGCTGATGTTTTATTTTTATTTTTTTAATTTTTTAATTTGATTTATATGCTGCCCTTCTCCGGAGACTCAGGGCGGCTTACAGTGCGTTAAGCAATAGCCTTCATACTTTTGTATATTTATACAAAGTCAGCTTATTGCCCCCACAAACTGGGTCCTCATTTAACCTACCTTAGAAAGGATGGAAGGCTGAGTCAACCTTGAGCCTGGTGAGATTCGAACCTGCAGTAATTGCAGGCAGCTGGTCTTAATAACAGGGTGCTTTAGACCACTGTACTACCAAGGCTCTTTGCCGAATCGCACCTTCCTGACCTCGCGAGTCAGTGGTCCTCATGCCAGGGCGAGGGGGGCTTCTGGATGACCCCGTCCCCTCTCCCTTCCTCTCTTTTGAGAGCTATTGAGAGTTATTGATCATCCTTTGCGCATGGTGCGAAATGCGCTCATCTCAATTGATTTGGAGAAGTGTGCAGGCAGGCACAAGGTTAGGATGCTTTCCCACGCTGAGCAGATTAAAAGAGGCTGGGATGAACTTTGGGACATCTGGAAGGAACTTAAAGATAGTTTTTTCCTCGGTGCCAAGGGAGGGCTAGCTTGCACTAATCTGCCAAGTTCCTTGTATTTTTTTTTTTTTAATTTGATTTATATGCCGCCCTTCTCCGGAGACTCAGGGCGGCTTACAATGCGTTAAGCAATAGCCTTCAAACTTTTGTATATTTTATACAAAGTCAGCTTATTGCCCCCACAATCTGGGTCCTCATTTCACCTACCTTAGAAAGGATGGAAGGCTGAGTCGACCTTGAGCCTGGTGAGATTCGAACCTGCAGAAATTGCAGGCAGCTGTGTTAATAACAGGGTGCATTAAACCACTGTACTACCACTATTAATGATCCGGTATTATAGCTTGACTTGAAATGCATACGTGGTTGTGAGATCATGGGTAGATCAAGGCTACAGGTAGTCCTCTACTTGCAAGGATTCATTTAGTGACCGTTCGATGTTACAACAGCATTGGGGAAAAATGGTACTTATGCCCGTTTTTCACACTGATGACTGTTGCGGCATCTCCATGGTCACGAGATCAAAATTCAGATGCTTGGCAGGTGGTTCATATTTATGACGGCTGCAGTGTCCCGGGGTCACGTGATCTCATTTTGCAATCTTATGACAAGCTGAGTCAAGATTCACATAACAACCATGGGACTAAATTCACTACCGCAGTGATTCGCTTAACATCTGTGGCGAGAAAGGTCGTAAAACGGGGCAAAGCTCACTTAACAACTGTCTCACTGAGCAACAGAAATTTGGGGCTCATTTGTGGCCGTAAGTCGAGGAATGCCTGGACCTTCCCTTTCTTCTTCTCAGCTTCTTGAGAAATGCTACCCGTTTTTCCCCTCCTCCAGCAATCTTTCCTCAAGATTAAACGTTCAAAATTCCCCCACCTCTCTTTCTCTTGGCCCCTCTTGGTGCAAAGAGCTGCATTGGTGCAGAGCCCTGGGGGCGCAGTGGTGCAGCTGCAGTATTGCAGGCAGACTCTGCCCCGCTGCCAGCAATTCGATCCTGACCGGCTCAAGGTTGACTCAGCCTTCCATCCTTAAGAAGTCGGTAAAATGAGGACCCAGATTGTTGGGGGCAACAGGCTGACTCTGTAGACCACTTAGAGAGAGCTATAAAGCACTGTGAAGCGGTATATAAGTCTAAGGGCTATTACTAAGTGTGAGGGAAGGAAGGAAGGAAAGGAAGGAAGGAAGGAAGGAAGGAAGGAAGGAAGGAAGGAAGGAAGGAGGAAGGAAGGAAGGAAGGAAGGAAGGAAGGAAGGAAGAGCCGTGCAGTGGTGAGGCTGCAATATTGCAGGCAGACTCTGCCCCGCTGCCAGCAGTTCGATCCTGACCGGCTCAAGGTTGACTCAGCCTTCCATCCTTAAGAAGTCGATAAAATGAGGATCCAGATTGTTGGGGGCAACAGGCTGACTCTGTAGACCACTTAGAGAGAGCTATAAAGCACTGTGAAGCGGTATATAAGGGCTATTACTAAGTATGAGGGAGGGAAGGAAGGAAGGAAGGAAGGAAGGACGGGAGGAAAGGAAGGAGGAAGGGAGGGAGGAAGGGAGGGAGGAAGGAAGGAAGGGCCATGTTGGTGCAGTGGCTGAGGCTGCAGTGTTTAAACTGCTTAGAGAGGTCTGTAAAGCGCTGTGAATCGGTATATAAGTCTATTGCTATTGCTAAGTGATATATAGCAATAGCAATAGCACTTAGACTTATATACCGCTTCACAGTGCTTTCCAGCCCTCTCTAAGCGGTTTACAGAGTCAGCCTCTTTCCCCCAACAATCTGGGTCCTCCTTTTACCCACCTCAGAAGGATGAAAGGCTGAGTCAACCTTGAGCCGGTCAGAATCAAACTGCTGAACTGCTGGCAGCCGGCAGTCGGCAGAAGTAGCCTGCAGTACTGCATTCTGACCACTGCGCCACCTCAGGATTAATATAAATGAATCTCCCCTTTGTATTCCTCCTTGGGAAGGAGGAAATGTTGGCCTATTAACAGATTAATCTAGGATTGCGTTCGCTCGTGCCACCCAAACTGAAGGAACGTAGTTTATCGCAGATGTTTGCTTGCATAGAGGAAACCTCACAATTTCATTGTGCTTTTTTCCTACACCGCTGGCGGCCCACTGGTTCGTTTCGAGCAGCCGCACAATTAGAAGGCGAAGGCTGACTTTTGCCTTCTGTCATTTCTCCATCTTCTTCCAGAGAAAGATGTTGGGGTGGCCTCTCCCGCCCCGCAACCCCCCCCCTTTTTTTCCCCTTCAGCAGCAAAGCTTCCCCTGCAATCGTCAAAGTTGATTACCAGCTGGCTCCAAAGTGGGAACGGAAAGCAAAACACTAGTTTTGCAAATACGTCGTAATTAAGCGATGGAAAAGCAGCTCAGAGCAAAACGCTTCCTCGCATTACAATGACGGGGACCACCCTTCCACATTGAGAAAAGTGGTGTTGAATGGCTTTGCCTTCAGAAGTTGGGGCGGGGGGGGGGGGGCCTCCATCACCGGAGTTTTTTTTGTTTGTTTGTTTGTTTTTTAATTTGATATATATGCCGCCCTTCTCCGGAGACTCAGGGCGGCTTACAATGCTTTTAAGCAATAACCTTCATCCTTTTGTATATTTATACAAAGTCAGCTTATTGCCCCCACAAACGGGGTCCTCATTTCACCTACCTTAGAAAGGATGGAAGGCTGAGTCGACCTTGAACCTGGTGAGATTAGAACTTGCAGTAATTATTATTATTTTTTTAATTTGATTTATATGCCGCCCTTCTCCGGAGACTCAGGGCGGCTTACAGTGCGTTAAGCAATAGCCTTCATCCTTTTGTATATTTATACAAAGTCAGCTTATTGCCCCCACAAACTGGATCCTCATTTTACCTACCTTAGAAAGGATGGAAGGCTGAGTCGACCTTGAGCCTGGCAAGATTCGATCTTACTTTAATTGCAGGCAGCTGATGTTAAATTACAGTGCTCTGTCTGTTGAGCTATAGGGCAGTGATGGCTAACCTTTTTGCCATCGCGTGCCAAAAGTTGAGGGGGGGGGTTGCGCGTGCGCAGGCCCACACCCGTAATTCAATGTGTCCCCGAGCATGTGTGCATGACCCCTCCCCCGTGCTCCCCCTTCTTTTGGCACGCGATGGCATGGTGGGCCCAGTAGGACTGTTTTTCAGCCTCCCCAGGCTCCAGAGGCTTTCTAGGAGCCTGGGGAGGACTAAAACAGCCTTCCCCACACAATTCCTAAATTGCATTAACAGAGGGATACACTCAAGATCAAGTGAGGTACTAATACCACTCTACAAAGCCTTAGTAAGACCACACCTAGAATACTGCATCCAGTATTGGTCACCACACTATAAAAAAGACCTTGAGACCCTAGAAAGGATGCAGAGAAGAGCAACCAAGATGATGAGGGGACTGGAGGCTAAAACATACGAAGAACGGTTGTAGGAACTGGGCCTGGCTAGTCTAGTGAAGAGAAGGACCAGGGGAGACAGGATAGCAATAGTCCAATATTGGAGGGGCTGCCACAGAGAGGAGGGGGCTCTACCTGTTTTCCAAAGTACCTGAAGGCCAGACAAGGAATAACGGATGGAAACTGATCAAGGAGAGATTCAACCTAGAAATTCGGATAACTTTTCTGACAGGGAGAACAATCAATCCATGGAACAGAAGTTGCCTTCAGAAGTCGTGGGAGCTTCATCACTGGAGGCTTTCAAGAAGAGATTGGACTGTCATCAGAAATGGTGTAGGGTCTCCTGCTTGGGCAGGAGAGGGTTGGACTAGATGACCTCCGAGGTCCCTTCCAACAGTGTTAATCTCTTAATCTATTAAACCTCCGAGGTCCCCTCCCACTCTGTGATTCTGTTTACCTGCAGCGGCCACGTCGCTGTTCTCCTCCCAAACATTTCCATTTGCTCGCGGGCATGACGTGCGTTTCTCTTTCCTCGCAGAATGGCGGCAGACCAATGGCACCAGAATGATCCTTCAGGATGAAGATCTGACCACCAAGATTGAGAACGACTGGAAGAGGCTGAATACTCTTGCCCATTATCAGGTGTGTAAATCAGCTTCGGTTTTGTTGGAAGGAAAATCCACCTGGTTCCGTTCCAAGCCGGGAGAAAGTCACTGGCAATAAAATGGAGGCTGGAGGCTGATTGGAAAGAAAGGTTCCCTTTATTGATGAAGCAGAACCATCAACCACATGTGATTCTGGGACAGCTGACAAAATGGAGAGTGGGTGGGTTTTTATACCTTCTGGATTCTTGGAGGGGGGGTCATGTAGGGGTCATAGCTGGCTCTATAGGCAAAAGAGGAAATGCAAATCCTAAGTGTTTGTCTCAGCTAATCTTGTCAGCCATTGGCTTGCCTAGTTGTGTTGCTTATCTGGAGTCTCCGTCTGACCCAGTCTTTTGAATGCATTGCCAAATCTGCATTTTTAAAAGCTGGCCTCCTCAGTTTCTGCTTGGGGCAGGGAGACTGGGGCTGGGATTTCTGCATCCCTTAAGATTTTTTCTCCCATTTCTCCTTTAGGGGAAATATCCTCTCCTGCCTTTTTAATATTTCCCAAAAATATTTCATTCTTCCAGGTGGGGGGCTTCCTACAATCTGATTAGACCTGATGCAGTTCTAATCTAATCTAATCTAATCTAATCTAATCTAATCTAATCTAATCTAATCTAATCTAATCTAGTTCTAGGTTTGCTTCTCTGCTTGGTTAATTTCCATCCATCATTTCTTGCCTTGCCTATTGGTGCTTTGGAGAATAGGTTGACCCCCCTCGTCTTTGGAGGATGTCTTTGTGTGACGTCCACCAGGTTTATTAGAGGCAGTTGTCCATCCTCGGTTTGCATAAAGATGAGAGACGATGAACAGCCAGATGTGAAAAGCCACTTCTGCTGGCTTCAAGGAGAGCTGGTTAATTAGCATCCTCGCCTTGCTTTGAAGATGAAAGCACTCAGTGATAAGTGCTAATTATTGTTGCGGCTGATGGCAAGAGGGCCCTTCTCTTGCATGTGCCAGATGCAGCTCCTCTTGTCAATGGTTGAATATTCGGCTTGGTTTCATATTTCTCAGGGAGACCGTGAGGCTATCCAAAGGTGTCTGTTGCAGTTTCTTGTAGCCATCCATTTCGGTGATCGCCCAGAGAGATCCTTTCTCAAAGTAGAATAGAGTAGAGTAGAGTAGAGTAGAGTAGAGTAGGGTAGGGT